TAACAGTTTGGGAACGTAGGAGGTCTGTATGATAAAACTGGCACTTGCTGCCTTGGCGATGGATCAGTAACAAGGAAAAGTCTGATAGCATTTTTATATTGCTGAAGCAGCTTGTGGATGCGTGTAGCACATCCACAGAGCTTTCTGTTCAAAAGGAAGAGGCCAAAATCTCAGCCTTGGTCATTAAAGCAACCATCACAGACTGGAAGGGCTGCTTGATTCACTCTCTGAGCAGCACAGCCCGTAAAGGAGCCTGTCTGCCTACAACTCACTCTCAAACCTGTCATTCATGCCAATACACCCATCCTACCATGGGACACAGGCTGGCTTGGCTGCTGAATGGCAGAAGTTCACCCTCACCAGCAGCATCGTCCCAAGGAGCTGTCTGGGGCCTTGAGCCTGGGCTGAATTCCAGGCTGAGGTTGAAGAATTGCTGTGAGTTGCTCTTTGAAAATGGTAAGGGTGAGGCCCTAGGGGTGCTTGGTGGGGATGTAACTCAGGTCTGGTTGAAGGCATCATCACTGGGTGACAGTGAGTCCATTTTACTTTGTTTGCATGGCCTTTGATGGAGGAAGAGCAAGATAGGAATAAGGGTATAAAAATTTCAGCTTTAAGTGCAAGGTGCACAGTTCATGCTGCCTTCTTAGGAATGCTGGCTTAATTAGACCTGTCTGTGGTCATGGCAGGTCTAGACTTCTGTGTTATTGAGGAAATTAATGGCTAATTAAAAATTCTTTAGTTAGATTAGTACCAGATGTTTCACAAAGCACTGTTATAAACATCTGTCCAGCTGCCTTAGCAAAATCCAGGTTGATAATGCAGAGTTGTACTGATCTTCAGTTTGAGGAAATACACTTGACAAGTGTTTTCAATTTTGGATCAAGTTTATGTAAATATTTAAAGATATATCAGATTAATAGGACTTTACAATAACTCCAGAAGCATTTTTACACTCCATGAATACAAGTAGTGTCTTTCTATACACAGCATCAGCCTCGAGATGGATGACAGCTCTCAGTTTGATTGTCAATTACGTGTTTATACTCAGTTTGACAGATAATTTTTTCACAGTGATTTACTCTTCCTCATAATTAGATGTAGCAGTTAGGATATCTTATATATTATGCTGGAATTTTCTTCTAATGATGCTGTAGCTAGATGGTCTCTCAGACACCTGTTCCACAGCAGAGCGAGCATGGGAATTGACTCTCCACCACACCAATCTGTTTTGTTTGGTTGTTTGTTTTTTTTTCCTTTGAATCATTTTAATCTCCTGGTATTGGGGAACTTCCACTGTTTTCCCAGGATATTCCCTATCCCTAATTGATGTTTGTTTGTCTTATCTTTATCTAAGTTACTTGCTTACAGATCTGATCGGCTGGCTTGCTATCTTTTGCTGAGCAGCAGCATCCCTCCTCCTTTGTCTTGGAAAACAGATGCTCTGCCATGTCCCTTTGGTACTTCCAGGAATGCTTTTTCATTTCACCATCAATGCAAAAAAAATGGCCAGAGATGAAAAAAACATACAGAGAACTGAGCACCTGGCAACACTGGCAGCACTGGCTGCGGCCATGTATCCTCTTGTCCTTGACCTCTTAAAACCAGCTTTCCTTGCTCACTATCACAAAGCATGTACTGCAGTAAGGAGGAGAGTTCCCAGCCAGAAATTGCTGCTGGGGCAGTATTCAGTGTTGGAGTTGATCTGCAGAAGAGGCATGGCTGTGTGTCTATTTTCCACGTACAAGTGTTACACAAGTAAATTAACTGCAAACACACCTCCATAATGAAAGCTTATGTGTTGAAATGCCCACTTTGCATGGAAAAGGGTGTAGGATTTGCACATACAACTTAGGTGCACAATTATGTAGTTTAAATGACTGAACACACTGGTAGCTTATGAGTTCCTGCAGTCAGTGTCTCCCAGCACAGAGGCAGAACTGCAGGGAAGGAAGTCCAAATGCAGCCAGAGTGGTGGTTCTGTCTCGTCTCCTCCTTACCTCCAGCACTATCAGCATTGTGCTGCCAGAATTTTAATGGGGGGCTCCCAGGCAAGGGTCCTGTATCTGGTGGCGAGCTGGTAGTTTCTAAAAGGCAGAGGGATATGAGTTTCAGGTTACTTCCCACCATCTGGACTTCAGGAATGCTAAACTGAGGCTGGGCAAGGACACGGCGCTGCGAAGCACCTCTGATGGGTAGCAGCTGGGCTGCACTGCCCCTTCTTCACCCTGCACAAAAGTGATACCAGCATCCTCGCTGGGCCAGCTGGGCAGCAGGAGAGCCAGCCCCATGGGGGAGAGCAGCCGCGACCTGCCCTGAGAGACTGAAAGCCTGAGCAAGCAGCCGTGAATATAGCATTTCATTGGCACAGCTGCAAAACAAGGCAACTTCTGTAGATTTGTGTCACTGTGTGTAGAGCTGGTTGAAAGTTTTAGGAGGTGAGCCATGCTGTTGTTTGGCTATAACATGCCTTATTAGGTTCCTCTGGGCAGGAAGGTCTAGCATGTACACTGCATGTGCATTTTCTTTCCCTACCAGCTTCCCGTGGCTGAAGGAGAACCCAGACATCCATTTTGAAGGGCCATAGTAATTTGATTTTGTTTGTTTGTTTCATTTTCAAGTTCTCTGAAGGAAGAAGAGCCCATAAGCTTTATTTCAAAGGTGAAACCTGGAATGCTTGCTCCTGGGTCCGGAGGCTGATGTTAAAGGGAAGGTCCTGCCAGCTGCTGCAATGTCCTTCTGCTTGCTGGAGAGCAGGGGAGCTCCCCTGTCCCAGTGCTCACTGCCACTCCCCTCAGTTTCCTGCAATGATGCTGTAATTTCTGTGATTGTATGCTTTTAAAACCTCATGTATAATTATATGAAAAAGCTTGTTTGATTTGATTAGCACAGACTTACAAAAGCATCTAGAGAAAGTACCTTCCCACAGGGAAGCTGTTCTTGACAGAAGAACAGGATTAAACCAGTGCTTAGAGAGTTAAACCCTGGTCTTTTTTTGAGGCATAGCTGGAACAGAGACCTTAGACCAACAGGATCTGCTGTACAAAGCCACCTCAGCTGTGCAAAGGGGCTCCAGTGGGTTAGGAGTAAAACCAGGTACTTACAGTCTTGAGATTTAACACAGACAGTGTAGACATCTTCAGGATGTGACCAACAAGGAATCAAAAGCTTCTGGTTAGGCCTTTGCCTGTGGCCCTTGGGGCAGTGAGGGACAGAGAAAAATGAAACAGGATTACAGTCCCAATGCTGTGATTAATGTTGGTGTTGAAAGGGGAACAGGGCTCTCCGAGTTGCCTGCCTAATCACAGGCTGGAACCTGCTTGGCAAGTTGTCTCCACTTGAGACTCCTCTGGCTGGCAGCCAGAAATATTGTCTGGGACAGGTGACATTGTGTAGGTTTGACATACCTCTTCTGTTGTCCTTGTAATGCTGACAGCATCCTGTGGTCATTTTTTGTCGATTAGGTTCCTGTTCCTTTGGGGAATTGACAGCTTGAATATTTATTCTTTCTTTCTGGTTTGTTGTTCAGTTTGGTTTTTTTTGTTTGTTTGTTTTTGTGGGGAGGGAGGGAAAGAAGAGAGCTTAAAAAACAAAGTTAGATGGCTGAGATAACACAGGCTATACTGAAATCTTTAGGATTCACAGCAAAGAATTATGCTTCAGGTCAATTTTGATTTCCAGAAATAAATTTGTTGATTACATCCCTGTAGAAAAGTGCTCCTTTAAAGCCTTGCTCTGTGCCTTGACCATTGCCATAAAAAGGCAATGTTGAGAGAGTGTTGTAGGTCTGGGTTTAAGCACGGCTCGCCATGTGCTTAGGCTTTAAGAAAAAAGCTGCTCCATGAACAGCTGACCTTATGAAGTCTAGTTTCCTGCAGGTTTGTTTTTTTCTCTCTTAAACTCCAGCTCCTCCATCTCTCTCAAGAAATCTCTTGCAGACAAGAAGGGAGGCAGCAAACGGGGGTCTGTGGGTGCTGCTCGATCAGCTGCCTCTCCATGGCATCCTTACTGAGCTTTCTCACCTTCTCAGCCAGCTCCTTTGCGTCTTCCCCCACTGCACAAACCAAGTGGGAACTAAATTATCTCAAATACATCAATCTCTCTTCCAAATCTGGGTGATAATCGTTGATGAATGAAGTGCTATTGGGGAGCAGCAGTGTTGCTGAGGAAAGACAGACTGAGATGGAAGTCTGTTTCCCAAGGAAACTATGCTAAAAAAAATAATGCAATTGTGCAAACCTACCCATAAAGTTTAGTAACTATTTGCAGTCCCTGCGTAGAGCGGGGTGTGAAGTGGAGAGTGCTGCTGCTCCTATCTGAGCTTGTGACTCTGCCGAGGACTCTCTGGGTCCCTTGGCATGTCACTCAGTGTCGTACCTCGGGTCCATCCCAGGTGAAAGGGAGGAAATGGGGCACGTTCCCTGATGGATGTTGGGCTCTTTGGGTTAACTCTGGCCATGTGGAGGGGACTGCACAATGGGGCCTCAAACTTGGCCGAGGCCTTTGCGTTTCTGGAACACAAACAACTAACTCAGTTTATAATAATCTCAGTATGTATCTATTTACATAGCTGTTTAGTTCATAAATGTTTCTCATGAAGGCTCTTTCCAAAGCACATAGAGTACATAAGGCTATTGCTGTGCGTTTCTCCAGCTTCAGGGTTCCTTTCTGAAACAAAATTAAACTGGAATCCAAGCTGACCAGCAGTCCTGACAATATTTGGAGCTCTAAAAATGAAAACTAGGATTTTTGATACTGTTCCCATTTCTAACTGGCAACCAAGAGAAAGCTCTTGGTGTGGAGAGAATTAACAAAACGCACAGTTAAGTGATGGTCGTGACTCGTGTTTTGCCAAGCAGAGACAGGTCAAATGATTTGGGTGGAAAACAAAACCCAGCTCCGATTGGCAACAGGCTGAGCACAGCGATCCCCACCTCCTCGTCTCCTCTGTCACTCCGAGCATGTCCTTGGAGCACCTCTCCGCGCAGCATGGGGTCGTGCCGGGTGGCCAGCCAGACCTGCAGGGAGAGGTGAGTGAATCACCAGCCTGCTCCCCTGGGGGGGGATGAGAGGAGGTGACCAAGGGGAGGAAAAAGTGAGCCTGGGGATGCTGAGGCCACGGGCTCCAGCTTTAAGCCGCGCTCTCCGTGCCTCAGTTTCTCTCGCTCTGCGCAGAGCGGCCCCGGGGCCGGTTGGTGGGGATGTGCGGCTGGGGCAGAGGGTCCCTGGGCTGCCTGTCCGCGGGGCGCGCGGGCTGA